CCTACCCAAAGGGTTTAGGGGTTTAGGGTTTAGGGTTTAGGGTTTACCCAAAGGGTCCGATAAGTCCTAAGTAAGTACAAGAAAATCGAAGCGTTTCCGTACTACTAGTATGGTTTGGGTAAGTGCCCCCCCATAAAGGTGCTTATGAGCCTTTGGGATACACCTTACACTCTCATCGCTACCCTGCACCCCAGACCTCCAGACCTCCACCCTAAACTCCAAACCTTCCCTAAACCCTAAACCCTAAGCCCTAAACCCTAAGCCCTAAACCCTAAACCCTAAAGTCAGTCCGGCGGCTAAGCACCAGCCTGCTGCAACGTCTCCGGTGTGATGGGGTCTTGGGGCTCCGGTTTTGGAACTTTGCGGCGTTTAGGTTAAGGTCCTAGGGCTACGGTTCAACATGGGTTTAGGTGGTGGGTCTTACCATGGGGGTCTTGGAAGTGTCGTGGTTTTGGCAGCTTATTAAGTAGCTCGTCCCCCGCGTGTCAAAGACGTACATGCGACCTACTGACTTGCTCCCCTACGCCTTTGCGTAACTGCGAGAAGGAGTATCTCGCAGAACGTCAGCATGCTCCTGAACATCGATCTATGCCCACGAAAGGTTTGGGGTTTAGGGTTTAGGATTAGGGTTTACGGAGGTTTAGGAATTGAGCAACATAGGCTTTAGTAAATTTAGGCTGCGTGTCTCTTCGGAGTCTGGCACAGATGCAAGTTGAGGCGCTACCCCGGAGATCCCGAAACCCGAGGCTGTAGAAAAGCCGAAACCCCAAGCCCGTAAACGCTGAACCCCATGACTTCTAACCCTAAACCCTTAACCCTAAACTTGCCCTAAACCCTAAGCCCTACTAAACCCTAAACCCCTAAACCCTGAACCCGTAAACCCTATAAGCCCTAAACACTATGACTTCTAGCCATCTCCAGTTGCACTTGAAGCCCAAAGGCCGTGCTTTGGCTCGAAACTAGGGGTGCAGGGGTTTGGGTTTCCGAAAGTCATGTCTTGACGGCAGAACGAGATCGCAACATGCTACCTCCCCATCCATAGCCCCGCTGACTCCCCCAAAGTCCGACAACAGTATCAAACCGACCCTCCACCAACACGAACTAATTTTATACGCTTTACTCAAAACCCTAAGGCCCAAGGATTGCTCAGAGCTCTCCGCTACAAACCCTCCCAAGACTCAAACCTTCAAACCAAATCCCCGAAAAAACCATCACCCAATAAAGCTTTCTTGACTTGAAGGAAAACAAAGTATAGAACACACCAATATCAGAATTTATCCGTAGACCCTAAACCCTTTCTGCAACCCTTTCTTTCGAGGCTAAAGAAACCTCTGAAAGGAACCCTAAAAGGAACCCCTAAAGGATCCCCCATAGGAAGACTTACAGAAACCTTTTCAAGGACCCTTTACAGGATCCCTAAAGCCCAAAGTTATTCCTGAACACCAAGTGCTACTTAAACCCTAACCCTGATAGACACCGTTGTGCTGAAGGGGCCATTAAAGGGGCCCTTAAAAGAAACTCTGGAACCCTTGACCATAAGCCCTCAACTGACCCTTCACGCCAAAAGCCTTGTAGCGACCCTTGCAGAAACCTTTTCAGGAACTCGCAGCCCCTAAACCTTAACCTACAGTGTTTAGGGTTTAGGAACCTTAAATCCTAAAACCTGCAGAACCCTTTCCCTAAGCCCTGAACCCTGCAGAACCCGTGTAGAGAACCCGAAACTCCGCCTCTGTAGCCGCCTGCCTGAACTCCGTGCCAGCGCCTAGAAAAGGAGACTTACCCAAAGGGTCCAAGTAATAGTATAGTATATTGAACCTTATTCTTCCGGGGACCTTATAGGATTTTAGGGTTTTAGGGTTGTAGGGTTTAGGGTTTGCGGTTTTAGGGTTTGGGGGGAGACTCATGGGGGACTTGGGGCTCAAAAACAGTACAGGGTTTGGGGTTTCGATAAGTTGCTCTAGAAGTGGTCTGTAGAGATTTATAGGACTCTTGGCAGGAGTTTTGATATGAGTTTACAAGGCCTCAGAAGGCTTTGTTAAAGAAATTGGTGTATACGGGTTCAGATTCTACAAGCTTGTATAGGGTTTCGTGTTTGCTTACGGGCTGTATAGGAATCATTTTTTGGGGAGGGTTTTGGGTTTAATGTTTCAGGGTTTTCGAGCAGTAAAGATCTCGATTCTCTGACTACAAATACTGACTCACTAAACTCCAAGAAAGTGACTGGCATAGAAGTCTAGAGCCACTGCCTTGGGCTCCGCTTCCGATGCCCCTTCTGCTTCCACTAGCACTACAACGCTACGACCAGCACCGTGATTTCCACGACCCCGAGACTACCATGCCCATGACCACAATCACGAAACGACTGCCTAAAGTGTAAGCAGCGTAAGCTTCCACATCCGCATGACTCTAAAGCTGACAATGATAGGAGGGTTTACCTTGACCCAAAAAAACCACCGCTTAAAGAAGCTATAACAAGAAACCCTAAATAGATGGGTTTGATAGGGTCCAGGTGGTGCTACCCTGATGACGGCGACCGGCCTGAGCAATGGCCTCCAGACCAGCATCTTCGATGCGATTGCGGGCCAAGGACAGCCCTGAGGAACAGGTCGGAGTGCCCCAAACCCTACACCCCAAAGCCTAAAACCCTAAACCCTATACCCTAAACCCTAAAGTCTAAAGCCCTTCATCCTTCGGATGTTTTTTCTGATGCGCTCGGCCCTCACACCCTACGCACCCACCTTCATGCTTCCTTTTGCAGAGGGCTATTTTTGAAATTTTGCCTGGTCCCTACGTCCTGTCGGACTACGACTGCGCTGGAATGCCTTGGTTCAGCTTGGGGTTTAGGGTTTAGGGTTTAGGGTTTAGGGTTTAGGGTAGGGTTTAGGGTTTAGGGTTTAGGGTTTAGGGTTTAGGGTTTAGGGATTAGGGTTCGCAGAGGCAAGGGCTTTCGGTATCTCTCCTCTGTACTATGTCTATGCTTCAGACATGCAGCTTCTTCACTTTGGACTTGCCAGCACTCCTGAATCCTGAATGCTAACTAACCCAGAAACCCCACATGACTAAACTCCAAACCACTAAATCCAAAAACCCTGAGTCCCTGAACCCTAAACCCTAAACCCTAAACCCTAAACCCTAAACCGCCCTGAACCCCTGACCCTGAGTCCCTAAACCCTGTAATGTTCTTCGATGCGCACCTCTGAGGACGTTGTTGTGTGCCAATCCCTTTGCCAGAAGCCGAGCACCCGAAACTCCTGCGAGCAAGGGCTCGAACATTGCAGCAACATCTACGGCCACTGTAGTGCACAGCGAAAAACGCAAGGGTGTCACGAACTTGGGTTCGACAGTCATAAATTGTATGCTCTAAACACACTATACCCCAAGCACTGCAAACCCAAGAACAAACAAATCTGATCCCAACGCTATTAAACCCTGGGTTCAGATGGCAACCCCCTCAAAACGCTCAACCCTAAACCCTAAACCCTAAACCCTAAACCCCTAAACCCCTAAACCCTGAACTCTATACTCAAAATCGTGGGTTTAAACGATAAGACTGTACCGGTGTTTGTCAGGGCAGGGGGTCTATGCCATTTGCATGCTCGGTGAGGCACTTTAGGCTTAAGGGTTTAGGGTTTAGGGTTTAGGGTCTAGGGTCTAGGGTTTGGGTTTAGATAGCAGAACCCGCCGGCATTGGTATCATCACGGTTTCACCTGCGCATGCAGTAGTACCATGAATAAGCGGCGTGAGCCTCGGCAATCTAATTACCCGTGTCCCCCAAGCAGTCTTGCCCAGACAAAACGCTGAGAAGTACTGCCAAAGCCCAAGCACTAAACCCTAAACCCTAAACCCGAACCTCAAGCATGCCCAAAATCCGGCATGCGACACCCTAAACCCACAGCTTAGCATCCCAAATCCTTGGCTCCAGAGGCCTAATCCTCGAGATTACATCGGTAGACTATAACAAACTATATACGAGTAAAATACAAGATCCCAGGAACTTTAGAGGCAAAGGGATCAACATAGCTTGGTTTTCGAACATGAGCCATAAACACGACAAAAATTAGAGCTTTCTGGCATAGCAAGCGATAGCTAGGTCCCCCGGGAGAGTATTCATTCATAAATACCCCAAACCAAGAACCCATTGACCCTATAGTCATATCCAAGGCCATGGATGAAGCCCGACCACAAGCCCCGATCCTAAGCCGTTCTCGTCCAGAACCAGGCGCTGGAGAACAGCGCCGTCCTGAAACAAGCCCTACATCGAACTACCACACTCACTTTTTGTAGGTTCTACATCAATCTACAAAAGTAGGTTCCGGTAGTTGAGGGTATAGTTTAGGGTGAGGGTGGGGGGATAAGGAATTGTGATGCTAGGCGGGTTCAGGGTTCGTGCTCAAACGACTGTAAACACTGAGTCCTAGACTCTACACTTAAGAGTGTGAAGGACGAAGATTGAATGACCCTCGAGCTGTGTGAATTCGATTGTTTGCGATGACAGAGGCGGCCTTTCTTGAACCCTTTGCAGGGACCCACTACAGTACAGGAACCCTCGTACGAAGGAACAGGTGGCTCGCCTTCCGGGCGTGCTGCCACAAGTCTCCGGTGCAAACCTCAACCCTTCTTCACACAAGCTTTCTTGCCTTCATGATTTGGAGCCATTCATGGTTCGGCAAACTCTCAACCCTAAACCGGCCTAGCACTTCTTCTCCGAAAAAGGAGAACCAAGCATGTTAGCCCTACTTGACAACCTCACTTTACTCTCGATCTTCATCCCGGCTAGGCAATCCCGAAAGAAGCGGGCTTAGGTTTGGGTAGAGGGTGCTAGGTCTTGAGATTGAAGACTCACAGCAGCGTAGCCTTGCAGCAGCTTATGTAGTTATATCAATTATCAAGCGACAACTATGTAAAGATACCGGCTGGTTTGCCAAGTGGCCCACACACCACATTTCTAGATCAAACTCCGAAACCCAAACCCCTGGTGCAACCCAAACTCTACTCCCACCTTCTCCTTCATCTCCAACACGCGGAAGAAAATGTGCATGCCTGCGGCGGCTCTTCGGCCATTTTTAGGTCTCAGGCTGAACGGGTTTTGAGCTTTCCCAAGCTTTTGAACGGTTTTTAGGGCTCAATGTTTAGGGGTCTAGGGCTTCAGGCTTTCGGAGCTTAGAGGTTTAGGCCTCCAACCCTAAACCCTGAACCCTAAACCCTAAACCCTAAACCCTAAACTTAGGGTTTAGGGGTTCAAGGCCGGAGGGTTCCGGCCTTTAGGGGCGCCTGAGTCGATGCTTTGCGGCCTCCAGTGCATGTCGCAGCATAATGACCCGAAAAGGGTTTAGGGCTTTTGGGGTGGAGGGTTTAGGGTTCAGGATTTAGGGCTTTAGGGGTGGAGGCCGCTGTTACACCTGCTTGATAACATATCAGAACTCACGTCGGGGATTGGGCAAAAGGCCTTCAACAAGATTGCTGAATCTGAAACAGTGTAACCAACATTGTGCGAAAGACCTACTCGTGCTAGTATTATGATCACGATTATGCTATTTCATTATTGTTATTACGATTATTATTAGTACTACTACTACTACTACTACTACTACTACTACTACTACTTCTAGATAATGCTGCAACTATAACATTCCATGGACACATGAAACCCTAACCCTGCACTCGAAACCCCTAAACCCTAAACCCGAAACCATGCTACCTGGAAGTAATCCGACGAAACCCTTGCCATGCAACCATGGCCTGGGCTTTTCTATTAAATTCTAGAGAATGCGAGACCATCTCTGGTTTAGGTTTTAGGGTTTAGGGGTTAAGGGTTTAAGGTCTAGGGTTTAGGCTTGATTGGGGTTTAGGGTTTAGGGTTTCAGCATTTTGCGCATTTCCATTACTGGAACGAGCCCCTCGAAGAACCGGCGTGGTATGGCTATCATCCAAAGCCGCTTGCGACTATTGAAAATGTGGAACGCCGAAGATTCGTGGATCCAATTCCCACACGTGCAGAACGCAATCCAATTGTCCCGACGTTTTCCAGGTTCGAGGGCCCGAGGTCTCCGTGCGAGTCCTCGCACGGGCTTTCGAAACGACGATCCTGTCCTCGTAGGATGCTAACTATTTCACACCGGTTCTCATGAGAGCTGCTCGCTGGACAAAGGACGTCCGCGGCGTTCATATTCATTTGCCAGCAGCCACGCTTTGCAGAAGTCTTTCAGCATCGGCCGGTAAGTAGCCATGGCTCTGACTGAACAGAGCAGAGCACACGAGCACAGCAGAAGCAAGCACTCTTCCTGCCAGGATGCGACAGGATCGCGTAGTCGGGGAGCGAGCCGAACATGACGAATGGGTAGTTGTCAAAATTATGGTCCCTTTTGGGGTACCTTAAATAATAGGTGCCGTATTATAATAAGGACCCAAAAAAGGACCATAATTTTGACAACCACCCGAATATGTAACACATTAGCCGCTCCCGGCTGGCACGCTGCAAGTACTGCCGCCTCGCCCAAACCCTGTCCGTGCTTTCCAGCCATTCAACCTATAGTCGCCATTGTAGTTCCTTTTTGGGGATACCATCCTTATTATATTATTGGTTAAACCAAAAAAAGAACTACAATGGAGACTATAGGAAGCAAGTGCATCACCTCAGCAGGAGTCAATATCAAATGTTGAAGGCTACTCACATCCCCCGATCGTCTCCCTCACCGTGGGCCCCAAACCCTAAACTGTCGTTAGTACAGGGGCCTTAACAATTCCACTGGGGTTTCGGGGTAGATTCTGCTTGAAGTATGTATGTGCATATTTGGAACCCTAAGGCATCACATGAGATACGTTGCTCAGGCCCTCCCTAAGCCCTACACCCAAAACCCCGAAACATCACCTTCTTCAGGCCCCCGACCTAGATTCCAGCCTGACCGCCCGAACACGGGCTTTGGGGGGCCAGCGGTGGCAGGGCGGCTATGGTCTCCCCAAAGATCCCCACCTAAACCCTAAACCCCTACCAACCTACTGTTTGGTAGGTTCTTATTAGGAACCCTGACATAGAAAAAAATTCGGACCCTGCAAAATGGTTGGTTTTGGGAGGTTCAGGTAGGGTTTAGGGTTTAGGGTTTAGGGCCCCAGTCCTCCGAAATCCTGAACCCATGGGGCTTTACAAGGATCTTTAGGGGGTTTGTAGGGTTCTCCCTTACATCATATGGCTAAGCCCGCTTGAATTTGGGTTTAGGGTTTAGGGTTTAGAGTTTAGGGATTAGGGTTTAGGGGGTGAAAACATCAGATGGCTTGAGGTATGTTCCTGAATCCAGGTTTTCAACTAATTAAACAATATGCTACGACTGAAGGTATATTGCTCAATCACAGGGTGTTGGATCTCTGGGTGTGTTCTGGGATCCGTGAGAAATTTTGCCGAAATTCGGAGGATATCTCACTGCGACGCAAAGACAGCCTCATGCCGTTTACCTAAACCCTAAACCCTAAACCCTGAACCCTAAACCCTAAACCGGGTTTGTAGGATTGAAGAACTTAGGGCTTAAAGTTGTGAACCCGGACTGCCAGTCTCTGAACCTTAAACCCTAAACCCTACGGTTTAGGGTTTAGGGTTGCCCTAAACCCTAAACCCTCTAGCACCCTGCATATGACATGTCGTCGACCCACCTACTTAGCCAGAGTCGGAGAACCCAATCCCAAAACCCTGGGCCCTAAACCCTAAACCCTGAACCCCAAACCCTATAATCCCCAAACCGCAAACCCTCAACCCAAAACCCTCAACCCTAAAGCCCCTCAGGCTAGCCAGAGTACGCAATACCACTTACTTCAGAAAGATACTTTTTGAGCATGAGACGGATGGAGTATAACCCAAAGGGGTCCTACATACTGCACACAGGGTTTTGGTTTAGGGTGTAGTGTTTTGGATTTTAGGGTTTAGGGTTTAGGGTTAAGGGTTTAGGGTTTAGGGTTTGTTATCGGGGGATACTTCCCTAAATCGTAGTAGTAGCAATCCCTAAAATAGAAACCTACTTTCTAGTGCACAGGTGCGTAGGACCTTCTGGGTAAGGGGTATGGGAATCTCTGGCTAATCCTTGAACCGCACGATGAACTCATAGATGCTTGCGCCTACCGGCCCGATGCCGTTCCCCGTGAGGTCCAAGTTCCACACCTCACGGATATGTGGATATTGGGCAGCCCGCGGTAGAACTTGAACACGAGAGTCTACTGTCTGATAAGTTCAACCCCGAACCCTAAACTTTGGCCCAAAGTGTAAGAGCCATCCAGCTCCGATGCTTCACTGCAAACAATCCTAGCTTAATCGTCCAGCATCCTGCGGGAACTGAAAGGTTGAGCTTTGGGGATATGTAGAGCTTGTAACCCTAAGGGTCCATGTACCCAAATAGATATACTTTGGCCTTAAAGTAGTCCCTATATAGGTACTTTGGGGCCAATGTATATCCTATATGAGTACATGGACCC